GGCCTGGGGCAGCATTGACCCCAGGACCGGCCTGCATCCCTCCATGGTCTTCCTCTGTCTCTCTCCGCCTCCCCTGCGTCTGGGTGTCTCCCGGTGCGCCCTCTGCTCTGGGAAAGGCAACTGGCATCAGCTTTAGGTCTCCTCCTAACTCCAGGCTGATTTTCTCTCTAAATCCTCAACTAATTACATCTGCATTTCTATTTCCGTAACTAATTATAGCTGCAAAGAGCCTGCTTCTCAAGGAGGTCACATTCTGAGGTTCTGTGTGGACATCACATTTGGAGAGGACACCATTCTACCCACCGAGGTCACCATGCCTCACCTGCGGTCCACTTCCTTGTTTAAATAAATGTCTGTGTCTCCCTCCCATGTTTTCCTTATGGTTCCAAGTCTGGAATTATATACAGACAACTCTTCCCAAGGGCCCATTGTCTCATCCATAAAATGGCAATGGTATCAACAAATGTCAATCAGAGACTCCAGGCTGACTTAGCATAAGTTGGTCAATGAACCAGTTTGGGCTTTTTCAGAAACTACCTGAGGATGTTAGAGCTAAGTGATTTAGCTTCTTCATGTCTGTGTTATCAGGAAGATAGCATGAATTAGCCCTGATATAAGGTACTTGGAGTTTGATCCTAGCGCTTTCACAGAAGAACTATTATATTTGACTTCAGACAAATTACTCAACTTCCTCCCATCTCAGGTCCCTTATTTCTGAAACCAGAATAGTGGCGTATTGATTTTTAATGATAAAATAAAACTGCATATGAATATGCCTACCACAGTAGAGGCAGTGGTTAGCCTGATGACAGATTTTCTTTGGCCAGAACAATGGACTTTATTTTTTTCCTTTGGATTTAAATAACTTTAAGCACAGAAGAAAAACATAACCAACTGACCATAGGCACTGCTCTTTATCACCTTAAAATGGGTTTCTCTATCTTGGGAAGACTTTGAGTTTGTTAGTACAAGGTAGATACACAGCAAATATTCAGAAATGAGCATGAAAACAGAGGCTACCTACCCCAAAGCTGACTGTGTGAGTTAGCAACTGGGAATCATTCACCACCTAGAGACAGATTTCATTCCATTCTTTAAAATACCTCCACTTCCGGTAAATCCTTCCTTCTCTTTCCTTAAGTTTTATTCATTGACTTTAATTTTTACTCCTAGGACAATATTAATTAAATCTAATCCTGCATCTAGTCCACTGCCTTTCATTTACAGGAATGCACCTGTTGTGCCTCCCAACACATGAGATCATTTCTATGACAGCATCCAAAGGCATAATTGTAAATCACAATTAGTATACATCATTGAATTATCTACCTCACCGCAGGGGAAAGACTGTTCAAGGAAATTTTTATGTCGTAAGATGATTGTATTTCAAGCTTATGAACAACCAGCTCTCCTTTCATTTTTTTGTCTTTGTGAGATAAGACGGAAAAAACCCAATTAGTCACTCCAAATGTGTATAGCAAAATGGACAGAAATACACCTTTGTGCAAATTTAATAAGGCTTCTCCTTTGTCCGCTTTGCTTGAGCTCAAGGTTCATGGTATCAGAGTATTAGACAATTTTCCTTCTCTTTTTCCTTCTTTCTGAACAATAATCATTTTTAAACCAGTCTTAACCCTCGTATTTAGCAATAGGATGTATCGGTAGTAAGCCTTCCCCCCAGCCCTCCCACCCCCAGGCCACCTTGAGGTTTGGAGGTACAATGAAGACGCTAACTTGAAACTACTGACCCGTGGTCCTATGTCAGGAACCTAGAGAACTGGAACAGGGGCTCTGAATCAGCCTTGGTGTTCCTGATATTTAGAAAGCATGGGAAAGAAACAGCGATCACCTTGGACAGCAACTTCTTGTGTTAAGGCTGTAATTGCCATGCGATAATAGTCAGTTCTCTGCAATGGTTACAGGAATTCTACAAGATATGAAATGCTAAGATACTTATTTTGCTGACAGCAAAGAAAAAAAATTAAATTAAAACCTCTACTTACTGTTGCCAAGCCCTTGATATTTAGGCCCTATAGAAATTAATTCTCTTTAAGGATATGGCAACCCAAAATATGCAAAATGCCCCATCCATTAACTATCGGTGATGAAAAAGACAAGGACACCACTGCCAGTAATTTCTGAAGTACTAATTATCAGATTACTAGCAAAAGTCCCTGAAGTTAGTTGGATTATGCTAATTTATCAATTACAAATTTAGAAAACAGATTCTAGTATGGCTATAGGGTTTCTAAATTAATTTGTCAAAACCTACATAAAAGCTACATGTGCATTGTATACAAATACAGCAAAGCAGGAGAAAAAGGGATAAAAATCTCTTGGGATCTCAAGCATCAGAAACAACAGATGGTGAAATTTTGGATTTTGCATAGTACCTTTCAGACAACCATACTTACGACAATGGAAAGGGAGGTGATTACCGACCCCATGTGGCATGACTACTGTTCTAGTCAAGGCGGCATTTTGTAGTTATTCTGTCCAATGGGACGTTCCACCATCAGGTCAGCCTTGAGAAGTTCTCCTGGACTGCTGAACTGAACATACTCTCCAAACTTCCTGACCCTCCTTACCACGTAATTCCTCATGTACTTCAAATGGCTGGGGAAGTTAGTCTACATATAACCACATTTTATTATATATAATAACTAAATTCATGTAACTCAGGCTTGAAATTCCTCATCTTTAAGACATCCAATTCAAGAAAAATGAATTTTCTCCAACTTGATGATAGATAGTCAATGCATATAAGTTTTTAGAACAAGGGATCCTTATTAGGCAAATGTAACCAAATACATTTAAGAGATTTTAAAACATTAAAATCATACATGAATAGTCAAAGTAACCTTTCTTAAAGAAACAAAAAGGAAAATATATATTTAACAAAAATCAGTCCTTGGCTCTAGTGTGCTAATGAGTTGTAAAGGTGCCAAAGGGTGAAATTAAAGAATTAAAACAAATGACTTAAAAAGATGGTAATTGTAGTTATAGGCTCTTAGAAAATTATGCATCTTCAGTTCAAAACTTTCAGTGTATAATTCAAAGACAAAAGGAATCAACTCGAAAATTTCTAATAAAAATTCTCAGAACTAGAACTAAAACAAAACCCCTTCACATGTTAAAAAGAAACTACAACTAATCTGCAGCTAGCATTGTTCTTAACGGTAAAAGACCAAATAAAATGTTCTCTGCCTGAGATGAATAATAAGACAAGAATGACCACTCACTATTTCTATTCAGTTCTAGTCAACATTGTGCTAGAGGTTCTAGGCAGTGCAATCAGGAAAGGGAAGAAATAAATGCATCAAGATTACAAAGGAACTAATAAAACTCTTTACAACCAACATGATCGTCTACATAGAAAACCCAATGGAATCTACAAAGAGCTACTAGAACTAATATATAAGTTTACAAAGGTGCAGATATAAGATCAATATGTAAAACCAATTGTATTTCTACACTCCACCAACAGTTAAGTATTGTGGATAAAATTTGAAATTTTAAAAAATGTCATTGGTACCTGAATAAACATTTCTCTCAAGAGGACATAGAGACACCAATGAACACTGAAAAAAAATGCTCACCATCACTAATCATCAGGGAAATGCAAATTAAAACCACAGTGAGATAGTATATTAATTTTTAGAAATTAAACCAGAAGCATAGAGAAAAAGTTCCTATGCAAAGTTAATTTAATAGAAAGTATTATAATCAACATGTGGGAATATGTCAGGGCTACATTAACATGCAATAATAATTTTTTAATTGATGAGACTATTGAAAAGTTATAGTTCATTTATACTTACTTTTTAAAATCACTTCATCAGAAACACCTGCTTTATCTAATTAGGGTTTCACAAGTCCTGCTATATTAATAAAAGACTCACGTTTTTAAGAAATCAAAATCTGGTTTTAAAACTTCACAATTATAATATTTTACTCTTGACTTCTGGTTATTAGCATATATTTCATATTTTTCATAGAAGTTTGGAAGTGCAATTCTAATTTATGTTTTTTATTTTTAAGATTCATAGAGTATTTTGTGTCAGGGGAAATCTGAAATATAAGCACCTGACATTTTTAATATGTCTTATGCTGTGACACAGGTAATTCAATGTACGTGTTTAAAATCATCATTCAGTGTAAACTGAATACAAACAAATCTCGCCTTTTCTCACCATATGTCTGTATTTTATGTAGACAGAGAAATGGTTATGCAGTGCATAGGAAAGCTTCTCAAAGGTAAAATATAGCTCTCTTATAAATTTCCAGGTATTTAATATGTAATTTTCATATGAAATATTGTGGGCTAGAAGTGATAGAGTATATTCAGTGATATAAAATATATGCTCCACCCACAGGGAGTTCATAATCTAATAAAGAAAATAAACACATAATAGTAAAGTCTATAGGACAGATGAAAATTAGTAATGTAATTAAGCAGCCAACAAGTAATTTCTATAAGTTCAGAGGAGCTGAAGTGGTTTGGGATGGCTTCCAGATGGGGAATGGAACTTGACCACGTTTTACCATCCTTGCCTGTTTACTTACCAGATTTCCTGTTACAACAGAAACTCCTGTGATGTTATAAGCTGAGCACTAAAGACACAGGTGCTGGACTCCATCCTTGCACATAGCACGTACTCAATAAACTGTTGATTAATAATATGTGAATAACACAACACATCTTAAAGGATTTAGGCATGTAAGATTTGAAAACACAAACTAAGGCAATCCAACTTTTTGCAGAGCTAGAAGTGTTAAGCAAAAAGCGCATGGTTGGAAAAGCAAGACGAGGCTGGCCAACGTACTTGTAGGATAAGATGCAAGCCGAACGATCAGATGAAATGGAATTGAAGTGGCTAATACAACCCCAGCTGAGACTGAAGGGAGTAACATCAGGGAGTGGCCAAAGATGATCTGAGCCAGGGTGTGGACAGTGGAGAAGGAAACCAGTTGTAACCCACTTTCATCAGAAAGAACAAACTGCGTTCACCTTGGTAGTAGTTTCAAAAACTGGAATGACACAGAGAAGACAGCACGGACCTTGAACAATGATAACACATAATATCACGAAATGTTCCATATCTTATATAAAAAGAACTTCCAGCACGTGCTGACTGAGTTGAAGGGGACCACAAAGTGTGGAAAGTCAGGATACCCGAGTCTTCCAGTTTGGGTGACAGAGACAGCAGTCGATGCCTTTTCAACATACGGTGGGAGATAAGTATTGACAGAAAAATTATGAGTTATGTTCTTCTATTAAACACAGATGTGTGCACATTGAACAAGAAATTGCAAGGAGAAAATAATGAAATTTTAAGGCAGACAGCTGGAGAAATCAGAATTAGATATATTTTCTCACAGAAAACATAAGTCAGAGCTTTTGGCTCCATCCAGGAGAGAACAGTAATACCCATAACACTGAAGGAAACTGGAAAGAAAAGAAAAGAAAAAAGACTGATGGGAGAAAAGGGAAGATACTCAGGATGCCACAGCACTTAGAAGGCTAAAGGGTGGTCTTCAGGCAGGGTTTGGTCATGGTGCAAATGCCACTAGAAGGTTAAAGAGACAGAGCTGACCTCCATGGAAGACAGTGGAAACCTTCGGGAATACAACTCAGGGATGAATATTAGGTTCCTAATTTTAAAGGAGAACAAACAGTGAAGAATTTGATTCAACAGAATATGTATATAGTACAGCCTCAAGAAGTGTAATAAAACAAAAAATTTTAGTGCTTCGTGAAAACAGCAGGAAAAAATGGGAGTGTGTGTGTCTAAAATCAGTGTGTATGTGTGTATATTCAGTGTGTATGTGTGAGGAAGGAATGCAGAGATAGGTAGGAACTGATGTGCATTTTAAGCACAAGAAAATATATTACTAATATGAATGCAGAGAAAACTAATCTAATTAGCAAACTGCAGAACCAGATGATGACCTTTCGAAAAGTATTTCCTCAACATTTTTTGTAGACCTACTTTGTCCAAAATGATAGCCTTTAATAAACACCTCTGGCTATTTAAATTTAAGTTAATTAATTTAAATTAAGTTTAAATTTTACTTCCTATTTCAACTGCTCCATAGCCACAGGTGACTAGTGGCTAGTGAAATGAACAGTGCAGATTTAGAGTATTTCTCCAATCTCAGAAATTTCTATTGGACAGCACTATTCTAGACAATAGTCTTTTGAAAGTATTTAAACTAACTACTAGTTTTCCTGAAATGTGTTGGTATTGTAATGGAATCATACTATTTTTTCAAAGACAAGCAAAGTTTACTTAGAAAGTCCCAGAGGTGGAAGAACAGAGCCATGGAAGAAGTGAGTCAGCTGAGCTTCCCCGGGCTCAGGAAACAGGTTACAGGGGCAGAAGAATGGTTCTTGGAGCCTGGGAGAAGGGGAGGGGCAAGGAAAACACACCTGGAGGAAGGGGTTGGGGAAAGTGGCTATTCATCCTCTGTGGTCCTTCTTCTCCAGAGTAAATACAAGTGCGCAAGCGCACACACACACACACACACACACACACACACACACACGCAGAGAGCATTTCACCTTGAAAAGCATCAATAAAAAAGTCAAAAACAAAATCCAGCTTGCACGGAACCATAAGCCTTGATTACAAATCACTAGAAACACATTATAACCGGTCAGCGTCTTCTTTTTCAGTTGTTCTCCCCGACACGCCAATGCATTAAGCATTTTCAGTAAACACATTTCACAGATGAGTTTTCCAGAAGGGCAGACTGAGGCCTAGTGTGAGGAACGGTTATGACGAATGTCAGTGTGCTTCTCTCCCCCTGAAGCCCCTTCCTCAACAGCCAGAGCTCAGCCTGCTCCCTCGGCATGAACTTCCAGAGATAGCATTTCCTTTCGTCTCCCTGACAGGTGTCCAAAACCACTCCTGGGTTATGCCAAATGCTGGCTGAGAAATCAGCCAGGGACCAGATACTGCCTACTAGATGTGCGCTATACGCATAGGTGGTATCTCATCTGACTCAATTAAGCATCACACTACTATGGCATAAATGTGCACTTGAATATCCAATTTTATATTGCTTTTTCTGCCAAGGAACCAAATGAAAAGTATTCAGCAAGGCATCTTCTTCAGTTTTCCTCTCTACTGGCTACAAAAGTCTTACTGATATTTATTTGTATGTGCTTAATAATGTCATATTCATAAATGCATCTAGAGTGAGCTCCAGCAACTCAAGGGATAACCTGAATAATATCACATAGCATGCTGAAGAGATGGGAAGGATGGTAAACTTGGCAGAAGAACCACTTCCCCAACTTCCTGCAGTGGAAGACGAGATTTTCCTGGCACGTGACTCCAAAGGAAATTCTGTAGGGCATTTTAGGAACTTACAAGAATAAACATAGTCAACAATATTTGACAAATTTTCATTATATTTCCTGGTGAGTTTGCTTTAAATTTTCTCCTTTTTGCCAATTGTGTTGGCTCACTGCACTGGTAAAAAATTATGTAGTAGACAGGTAAAAAAAAAATATATATATATATATAGGTGCACCTACTACCACCAAAAAGGAACAGGCTCCGTGATTCCCTGGAATTGTTATCTCATCACTACTGTTCCTGCCTTTCGTCCAGTGACTCACATGATTAACCTCCTGAAATTCCCAAGTCCTTCCCAAGTTCTCCCTGCCTTCATTCAAGAAATTCATTAAATTCAACATCCTCCAAGAAGTCTTTGTTTTGGTCAGTGGCTTTAGAAAATTGATTTTCTTCACCCATATTTTCCACTTTCTGTCATTTCCATTCAGATAATATCTCAACTATATCCACAGTGAGTTCCTGCTTGGCCATTCCGTGTGCCACCAACTGTCATTAACTCAAGTCACATCGTTGTACGTCATTTTCATCACAGCACTTACCATTACGGGAAGGTAAGATGTGTATATATATACAATACACACACACACACGAAAATTTATAATATATTTGTTTATTGTATGCTTCCCCAAATAATTGGAGCTTCATGAAAATAAGGCTTCACCTGTTTTGCTCACCACACTATGCCTGGCACATGACAAGCAGTCAAACATTTATTGAATGTAATTCATCGGAGCCTCTTGATCTAAATTCCAGTGCACAGTGAATTCAGGGGACAGAGATACACATTAAATGATGCCACGAGGAATCAATCAAGCAAATCAAGAATGTGGGTGATTGTACATAATAACTACCTTGAACTCTTCAAAAATTCAATATCATGGAGAAAACAAAGTGGAAGAATAATTCTAGATTCAAAGAGACCAAAGAAGCATAAAATCAAAGTTATTTGCATGAATCTTAATAAGACCTTCATATGGAGAAAAAAACACTACAAAAGGACATTCTTGAGAAAAATTCAAATATTTGAGGAGGATTTAGATATTCAATGATCTATTGTTATTTCCTTAGGAATGATGATGATATTGTCGTAATTTAGGCAAATGTCTCTATTGTTAAGATTCATGCTGAATGATAGGTGAGTAATATTTTTAAGTATCTGCAATTTAAACTTCCAAATGCAATGGCAAAATAGTGTGTGTGTGTGTGTGTGTGTGTGTGTGTGTGTGTAGACAGAGAGAGAGAAAGAAGTAGAGATGATAAATCCTGAAGAAATTTTAGAGGTGTTTATTGAAACTTTTGACTCATTTTCATGTTTTATTATTAAAAAATTTCAAAGTTGGGGAAAAAACATTTGAATAAATGACTAGCTGGAAGAAAGGTAGTGAGTTCCCTTTGATTCTAGCCTACCTAGTACAAAATGCTCAGGGCCCACTATTTCTCCGATTTTTCAAATCGGAAAAACTGACTACCACTCAGTTGTGCAAGACGTCCTTTAAGCCATTTGGTTCACTAATGATCCTTCGTGGAGTAAGAGCCCAGATGTCGGGATCCTGCCAATCAATTCATTTCCCATGCCCACACTAGGGTGCCACACACAGAGCGATGATTACTAAATAATTCAAAGGTACCAAAAATGCAGATCAACTGCCCATTCAGGTAAGCCATGGATCCCGAGCACCTTGAAAGAGATCTTGAAACCAGCCCCAGGGGAGCTGGCCGGAAAGGAACAGGAAAGCTGACATTGGAAAACGAAGTCAGGCTGGTTCCATTCTGAAAAGCTCACACTGCTTCTGCCAAACCTACCTAAAAACATCATAGTCACTAAGAAGAGCGCCTTGCAGGCCCCAAAGGGCGGACTTAAACTAATGAATTCCTCATTTCTTTTGACTCTCCAAGATGGCTCACTAGACTATGGCAAGAGAGCAAGAGTCTGACCATTTGTTCATACTGCTGCATTATCAGTGCCTAAAAAGAGTGCCCGGTGCATAGTAGGTAGCCAATCAATGTTTGTGGAATGAACTAGTGGATAGAATTCCAGTAAAACAAGATTTTTCCAATCTTCACATATGCCAGAATCACTTTGAGCACATCAAAAACATCGATTGCTAGACCTCACCCCTAGAATTTCTCATTCAGTAGTTCTAGGGTGTGACCCACAACTATGCACTTCTAACAAGCTACTACACAGTGCAAACGCTACAGGCCTAGGGACCACAGTTTTAGAACCACTGCGACAGAAAATCTCTCTTTTAGCTTTCCCCTTGCTTCAGAGAGCTACTGCTTCAAAACTGAGCACTGTACTAGGCGGTTAGTTCTTTTGTATAAGATGCTGAATGTACCTCATTGTTTATTTGACAAAAAATCTTCTTATGGTGTTAAGAAACCTTGGAGCTTGAGTTCAGGTTACCCAAAATTCAGACACTTTCCCATCAATCAAGCCAAATATTTACCATAAGTATTTTTCTCCCTGCCAAGGGAAGCAAGAATTCCCTATTAGCAGCTCAACATACTGCTCCTCCAGCTCGTATTCGCGCATTTGGAACGAGGCTAGGAAGATACACACTATCTTTTTGCTGCACAATTGCTTTGTGAAGCATGTCTGCCTCCAGAGAAATCAGGTGCCTCGCACACAGCCGAAATTTATGTTAAAGAAAGTCTGTTTATGAGAGACGAATGTGTACCCAAATTTATCTCCCAGTGACAACTCAGGAATCTAAAAAATTTTCAACTTCTCCCCTTG